GTATCCACCATGGTGTTCGTATCTACGTATCATGATGTCCGCGTATCCGTGTCTGTGCTACATAGCGAAAAAGTACATGGAAAATCATAAACGATACATCATAAAGAGAGGGTGAAAGAGGAGCGGCAGAGTCAACGAGGAAAATTAAGGTTGGGGATGGCAGATGTCAGCTAGCTATTTAAGTGGGTGGATGAGTGATCAGGATTGTCCCATTTATAAGGACAAATGGCAAATAGGCCCATGACAAGGGCACTTAATTAAAAGAGGGACATCCAACTTTTTTATCTTTCAAATAAATCTAGGTCATTCAAACTTATTTGCAAATAAGGAAAATCCTTTTATATATACCAAAATTACCCTCAATTCATTGAAACCCAATTCAACTCCAATTTTATGATTTACACCCCAATTTAGCTCAATTTCATCAATTAACCAATTTTGACCCTAATTTCAATTTTGACCCGCCACCACCGGAGACCGGCGGTCTCCGGTCTCCGGCGTTGATTTTATTTTTTTTCTCCGGTAGGTCAACCGCCGTTGACCGCCGGGTCTCCGGCATTGACTTTTTTTTATATATAATTTTTTTTTCTTAAAAAAATATTTTAATTAATATTACCGTCTTGGCTACTAAATTACTGTCTCCAACAGTTACTTAACTTTCGGAGACAGCAATTTAACTGTTAATTGACTTTTTTTTTTCTTCAAAAATATTTTAATTAATATTTCTATCTTAGCTGCTAAATTACTGTCTCCAGCAGTTATTTAACTTTCGGAGACAGTGATTTAACTATTAATTAACTTTTTTTTTAAATATTTTAATTAATATTACTGTATTCGTTGCTAAATTACTGTCTTCGGCATTTTTTTAACTGTCGGAGGCAGTAATTTAACTGTTAATTGATTTTTTTTTCTTAAAAAAATATTTGTAATTAATATTACTGTCTTGGTTGCTAAATTACTGTCTCTAGCAGTTATTTAACTGTCGGAGACAGTAATTTAACTGTTAATTGACTTTTTTTTTTTGAAACTTTTTTTCTTAAAAAAGATTATTTTAATTAATATTACTGTATTGACAGCTAAATTACTGTCCCCAACAGTAATTTAACTGTCTCAGACAATAGTATTAATAATATCACAGTTCGGTAAAATAATATGCATAATATTACTGTCCCAAACAGTAATATTACTGTCTTAGACAGTAATTTAGTAGCCAAGACAGTAATATTAATTAAAATATTTTTTTCTAAGAAAAAAAATTTCTAAAAAAAGAAAAAAAAAAAAGTCAACGCCGGAGACGGCGGTCAACGGTGGTTGACCGGCTGGAAAAAAATTTCTAAAAAAAAAATATTCAAAAAAAAGTCAACGGCGGAATCTGGCCGAAAAAAAAATGTTTTTCAAAAAATTATTATTTTGGGTGTTAGAGCATATATTTAATGTGATGTATTTGTTTAAATCCGGGGTCAATGTGTAATATTAAAAAAGTTAGAGCATAATGGATGTAATTGATAAGAATTATATTATGGAGGGTATTTTAGACTAAAGACATTGGGATGGGTTTATTTGAAAGACTATTTTTTTTTTGTGGACCAATGTGCATTTAAGTCCCATGTGATGGGTCTATTTGCCATTCGCCCCATTTATAATGGACAGTTGTTACCCCCTTAATCGGTGATATCGGTAATGACTCGAGTGTGGCCGAGTCATGGCCAAGAAATGGTGTCAAGTGGGGATTGGCACAAGACAGCCACACAATCGGCCAATGAGTGGTCGAGTGTCGGGCAAGCATTTGGGGTGTTTGTCCGAGAATAGCAAGGATCGGCTTGATTCAAGTGGGAACGGTGATCGAAAGTACTAGTGGCTGGCACGGGCGTTGCTCGGCACCAAATGCGGACAAGCGTGGGCAGTAATCGGCATGTGGCCGATAACTTGGGCAAACGAACGTTCGAGGGAAATCGACCACAACTTGACAAGTGTGGGCAATTTGGCATGACTGATTGGCAAGTCAATGAAGGCAGCCCGATGTGCGGGCGTGCTAAAGACCGTGTGGGCAAAGAACTGGCAAGTAATTGGTAAAGGCAAGCAAAAGTGCGGAAAAGGCAAGGCAGATGGGCTGCCTAGCAACCGGCTGGGCTGTTTGGGCCGTTTGGTGCGCGCGCGCGCGTCCGGTCAAGTTGGGCCTCGAAAACCAACCTTGTGGGCGGTTTTGAGGGAAGTTGCGGAGCGGTTGAAGCCTGGAAAAGCATGGAAAACTGCCCCTTATTACTTGTAATAGTTAGCCAAGTGTCAAGCAAGTATGCTGCCAAGTGTCCTTAGGTAGTTTTATGTGAAAACTACATTTTCCTTGTATTTATTTGGCTATGAGAGCACAAATCCGACCCATCTAGCATTAGAGAGTTCAGATTGCAATTGTGGGCATTCTGAGTGAGGATTTTGTGTGTACACCTTAGTCTCCTTTGTATTCTTTGTGGGAAATTAATATAAAGGTTGGGCATTACCCGTAAACGTGCTTGTGTGTTTGTTTTCCGCTGCATACTCTTGTTATCGTTTACGTTGGCTTAAAAGACTTGTGTTTGTGCGTTTTGTGCGAAGAGAATCGAGAGGAAGGCTGACTGATTTGGTGGGCAAATCAGGCCGCACGGGCGAAAATTTCTTGAGTAAAGAAACCCCTGTGACAGTTGGTATCAGAGCCCGGTTCAAGGGTTCTGATCGTGTTGATGTTCGGCATGGCTGACGATTCTGGATCTTCGACAAATCCAAATCCTACTCGTGTCATGATGCTAGAAATGGAATCAAGGCTGCAACGTCTTGAAGCCTTGGTTGGGCCACCCCTAGATCCAACGGATCCACCAATCTTGCAACGACATGCTGATGGGAAGCAAGAACTCGATCACTTGGCAAGATCGTTGGATGATCTGCCCCAATTTGTGGAGGGTAAATTCATGTCCGTTGTCGAGGAGATGGGACTCCTCATTGATGCCGTTGAGACAAAGCTTGAGGGAATGCTTACGGATTTGATGGTGTTGAAAAGGGCTGTTCGAAATGAAGGATCAAGTTCTGAGGGCAGAATCCAAAGTTCGTGTGCCGGAACCGGCAGCGTTTGATGGTGTGCGCAGTGCCAAAGAAGTCGAAAACTTCGTGTGGGATATGGAGAATTACTTCGAGGCATCCAAGGTTCCGGATCGCGAGAAAGTGACCATTACAAGTATGTATCTTGTGGGGGATGCAAAATTGTGGTGGCGTGCTCGTTTGTCAGACGATGCAAGTGCCAACCGAGTGAAGATCGAGACTTGGGAGGTGCTGAAACGGGAATTGAAAGAGCAATTATTTCCTTGCAACGTGGGCTGGATTGCAAGGGAATCCCTTAGGCAATTGAAGCACAAGAGAACCGTGAGGGAGTATGTCAAGGATTTCAGTTCTCTGCTCCTTGACATATGTGATATGTCCGATGAAGATAAGCTGTTCAACTTCATGGCTGGATTGCAGCCATGGGCTCAAACCGAGTTGCGGAGACAAGGTGTGAAGGATCTACCAAGTGCCATCTCGGCAGCAGATCGACTTGTCGATTACAAGGTGATGGGGGCCGATGATTCCGATAAGGAAGGCTCAAAGAAGGATAAGTCCAAGGGAAAGAAGTTCGGTGGCAAGGGTGGCCGTAATTCGAAGCAGAAAGAGAGCGGTGATGGCGAAGGATCATCGGTGCAAACCAAGACCGGAGGACAACCTGTCGTCAACAAGCAAAACCGTGGTTTTTTCCTATGTGATGGCAACCACCGGATGAGGGACTGTCCGAAGAGGAGCAAGTTGAATGCTTTGATGCGGGAGTCGGATAGTGAGGAAGATTCGGACGAGACGAGGCGTGCGAATCCGATTCAATTGTTGAGTGTTTTGGTCGTGGACAAGGCACCCAACGGCACCAAGGGCTTGATGTATGCCACGGTGCTGATCAATGGCAAAGAAGTGAATGCGATGGTTGATTCGGGAGCAACTCACAACTTCGTTGCCGAGAGAGAATTCAAGAAGCTGGGCCTGACTCTCTCAAAACATGCAAGTCAAGTTAAGGCTGTAAATTGAGAGGCGAGGCCGGTGAAAGGCAGAACCGATGTCGATCTAGTGATCGGTTCTTGGAAAGGGCAGTGCGGATTGACTACCATACCACTAGATGATTTTGATGTGATATTGGGGCAAGAGTTCCTACTTGCTGCCAAGGCTGCGGTGATACCATTTCTCGGAGGGCTGACGATTATGGACGAAGAGTGTCCATGTTTCGTTGAATGCTCGTACGTGACGAACGCAAAGGCGGGAAAGAAACCGGTGGCAATGTTGGCTGCGGTGCAATTGGAGGCAGAATCGAACGACGAGGAGTCATCGAGCCTAATTGCAGCCGTTCGAAACAAGACGGTGAATTCTTGGGCTGGTTTGCTTGTACGTGCATTGCCGAGAAATGAGACGAGGGCCGAAGGCAAGTTAAGGTATTCATTTGGGCTTATGAATGGGCATTGTGGCCTTACTTTTGTTCTAAGTTGTTGCCGTGTGTGGCATAATTTGCGGGTTCGAAATGTGGTATATTCTGAATTTATGTGGCATGTTGGGTTTTTGTTGGGCTGGTTTCTGTTGTTGATGAAATGGAAGCCGTGTTCGGGTGATTTCCGTGGGTTGGTGATCTCCTTTCTCGATTGGTGTGTCAATCGAGATAAAATACTAGTTGTGCCAAGAACTAGTATTTTCACTTGTGGTTGGGTGCTGCCGTTTGAACGTGATCGGCGTTCATTTTTCCGAGGGCTGAAAGAATATGTGGGATGTTCGTGGGATCAGACTTGGGATATGGGATTCGATGTGGTGCTGGTGATCAAGCACAATCAAAGACGGCGGCAAGATAAGTGGAAACGAGGGAAAACTGAAGCCGATGGTTTCGGTTCGACGACGGCGTCGAACACCGTTGGTGGGGGAGGTCTGTTACCCCCTTAATCGGTGATATCGGTAATGACTCGAGTGTGGCCGAGTCATGGCCGGGAAATAATGCCAAGTGGGGATTGGCACAAGACAGCCACACAATCGGCCAATGAGTGGTCGAGTGTCGGGCAAGCATTTGGGGTGTTTGTCCGAGAAAAGCAAGGATCGGCTTGATTCAAGTGGGAACGGTGATCGGAAGTACTAGTGGCTGGAACGGGCGTTGCTCGGCAGCAAATGCGGACAATCGTGGGCTGTAATCGGCATGTGGCCGATAACTTGGGCAAACGAACGTTCGAGGGAAATCGACCACGACTTGACAAGTGTGGGCAATTTGGCATGACTGATTGGCAAGTCAATGAAGGCAGCCCGATGTGCGGGCGTGCTAAAGACCGTGTGGGCAAAGACTGGCAAATAATCGGTAAAGGCAAGCAAAAGTGCGGAAAAGGCAAAGCAGATGGGCTGCCTAGCAACCGGCCGGGCTGTTTGGGCCGTTCGGTGCGCGCGCGTCCGGTTAAGTTGGGCCTCGAAAACCACCCTTGTGGGCGGTTTTGAGGGAAGTTGCGGAGCGGTTGAGGCCTGGAAAAGCATGGAAAACTGCCCCTTATTACTTGTAATAGTTAGCCAAGTGTCAAGCAAGTATGCTGCCAAGTGTCCTTAGGTAGTTTTATGTGAAAACTACCTTTTCCTTGTGTTTATTTGGCTATGAGTGCACAAATCCGACCCATCTAGCATTAGAGAGTTCAGATTGCAATTGTGGGCATTCTGAGTGATGATTTTGTGTGTGCACCTTAGTCGCCTTTGTATTCTTTGTGGGAAATTAATATAAAGGTTGGGCATTGCCCGTAAACGTGCTTGTGTGTTTGTTTTCCGCTGCATACTCTTGTTATCGTTTACGTTGGCTTAAAAGACTTGTGTTTGTGCGTTTTGTGCGAAGAGAATCAAGAGGAAGGCTGACTGATTTGGTGGGCAAATCAGGCTGCACGGGCGAAAATTTCTTGAGTAAAGAAACCCCTGTGACAACAGTCAAGATGAGTCTTCCACTTAAATAGACCGGTTCATACTTAACAAATCGGGTCGACTCTAGTATTGACGTGTCCGGGAGAAAAATAAGACAAGGGCCCAATTCACTTAAGAATATGTCATTTTGGCCCACAAGCTTAACAAAAAGAAGCTTGTATCAAAAGGCCGAGGCAGTCCACCAAAATGAGAACCAGCTTGTGCGAAGTCAAACTAAAGGTTGTACTGTGTGCTCAGAGCAATATATACAGAGTTCGGAGGAAATCATCAACAACACGCTGGAAAAGGTGGAGATCCTAATCACGACAAATAAAAAAAAAAATTGCATTTTTAGCGTAGTCTGATGACGGAAGAATGACCGGTCGAGTTGGTTCAGCCACATAATACGATACATTATTTAATATGTTATTTAATGAATTGTTTAGTTAGTATTTTATTATTAATTAATTAGCATAGTATAATTAGATTGAATATAGCCTTATGGTTGTTTAGAGTTAGGAGGATTAGGGGATAATTAAGTATTTGATTAGAATAGGTAATTAGTTTTCCTGGTTGGATTAGGATTCTAGGGTTTTATTATGAAGATAAATAATAAAGAAGAATTTTCTCACGTTTAGTAAAAAAATCTGATGATACTCAAGAGAACGCATCACCACACCAAGTTATTGAAGTGGAGTCTTTATCATTCTCACTTGAATCAACTAATTTAATTCAAGGGATAATTAGTTGGAACCCCCTTATTTGGAACTTATATGATTGAGGGTCCATTTTGTTAGTTGATTATAGCTATAGGTCCCTTGACCAATAAATGTAATATAAATTAAATTAAATTATTTTTCTATTGACATTAATACCCTTAATATTATTTATATTAAGGTAGTAAGTTATGGAAAATATGAATAAAATCCCGCATTTCACTCTCACATTTAACTCATCTCTCTTCTCCCTCACGTCTCCCCCTCCCTTTCTTTTCTCTCATTTAACTCTCCTCTCTCTCTCTCTCTCTCTCTCTCTCTCTCTCTCTCTCTCTCCTTTTTTTTCTTTTTTTTTTTCTATTTTATAACAGCAAAAATAAATAGCAAAATTGCAAAATACTTGTGTCAAGTTACAACAACAAATTGCAAAATACAATTAGCAACATACAAACTGCAATTTATAACAGCAAAAATAAATAGCAAAATAAATATAATACGGAATCACCTACCATATGGCAAAAATATTATTTTACAAATGTCTTTTCACAACAACACAATATAGAACTAATGATAATTTGCTCAAACATCAGAGGTTCAAGTTTATTCTTCCTCGAACAATATAAAATATTTTTAAAATATAAAATATGAAATAAAAGATTATATAACAAACCAACAAACTGTTTTTAGTTATGAATAAATCAGTACATTAAATACAAAATATTGTTTGATACAAATCAATAGATACAAGCAGTGTTGCAATATAGTCAATGAACAAAGTACAATATATCATAATTGATTATGACTGGGTTGATGTCATAACGGACATAGTCTCAACGTCCGACTGAATTCACAACTTCCAAACGTCATCAGGGATCTTCTAGAAACATGATCGTGTCAGTAGCATCAACCTCTAATGAATCTCTTGTTTGTTTTCTTTTGGCCTATAGTTGTAGCGACAGTAAACTACGAGTTCAACCAAAAAGCTTCCAATTAAAATATGCACAAATTTACATCAATGCATATTACAATATCAAAACGCATTATTGAATCCCTATAGAGAAATACAATGTTCGAAGTTGCAACAACGAGATGCAAAAAATACAATTACTCGCAATATGCAGTACATTATTAAATGACAAAATACAAAAGAAAAAAAAGGCACACACACATTAACTTTAATACGAGTTTAGGAAGAGAACCAAAAAATATGTGAAACCTTTCATAGTTATTCCCAAAGAAGGAAAAAAAAACTAATATTAATTTGCAATAACGAGCGTCAAATTAAAATATGCAGAAACAAAAGCGAAAATGAAAACCGTTTAAAGGGACAACATCAACAAACTTCAAGTTGCAGACAACAACATAAAAAATATAAACTTCAACAACATCAACAAAATAGTGGCAACAACAACCAAATAATAGTATGCAAATAACTATATCCAAAAGCAATTGTCAACAACAAACTGCAAAGTGCAAATGATACAGTGACAATAAGTTATTTTCAACAAGTATTTTGTTATGATAGATGAAACCATTTATTACGACACCAAACTGCAAATATTTCAGTAAAATGCAACTTACACTATGATAACAACAAAGTCGAAATGAAATATAATATAAAAGCAAAATACGCATCATATAAGCAAAATCCAAAATAAATAGTAAAGTGCAAATTATACAAAAAACAGCAAAATCAAAAGCAAGAAACCAATAACGTGCTGCTGTTTATTTTGCACTTTGCTGTTATGATGCGAAAAAACCGATAACATGTTGCAATCGACATCAAAAAAAATATGTAACAAAAACAGCAAAATCAAAAGCTCGAAACCAATAATTTTCACATAAAAACAGATATGGTAATTGGGGTCGAAAAATTAATATCAACATCTTTCGATCCATTGATCAAAATTTTCATGACAATTCGTGAATACATAGCCATAAAAAACATAAAAAAATAGATATAGAAGAGCAAATCACCTGTTACTTTTCCATCTTTAATCATTGTCTCTCGTTTTTTTTTTTTTTTGAGATTTACATCTACGAGACGTCGATAACAACGATATATTAGAAAGATCAATATCACGATTTTTTCTAGGGTTACAGTATTTGTTTCGCATAAAAAGGGAGAGAATTTGTTTGTTTCTAGGAGAGATTCAACGATCGAGATAATCGCGGCTCTATTTTTGCTAGATGGGTTCACGGGGGAATAAATTTGCTCATAATTGATTTAAGATTAAAAATTTCCTATTTTATTTAAGGGTATATTGGCCATAGTTAATTATAGGAGGTTCTAGCAAAATTTGACTTATGAGTTGGGTTAATACCTATAGAATTTAGTAATGGGGGTCTATGCCCGCATGGGTGTAGCTCAACTGGTTCCGGAGGTGGTAAGTTGGTGCAAGGTCCTAGGATCGAATCCTGGCAGCCGCAGTGTGGGAATTTCAACTCCAAATGAGGGTTGGTTCCTTGTGGACACCAGGTCCGGATCCGCTATCTTAACGGGCCGTTGAGGTACCATAATTTACATCTTCCATCAATCATTGTCAGGCCAAGTGATGGAGGCCCTGGGAGCGAGGTATTCGCCTTTTGGTGTAAAGTAATGGGGGTCTATAGAAAATTACCCCTTCATTCAATTGATATCATCCAAGTCATCTGATTTATTTCAATTGACCATGTCAACTGACTTAAATCAATTTAGGGACTCCACTTGAATCAAAATTTAATATGTACTTTACTAAAAAAAAAAAAAAATAATAATAATATGTACTTTATGATTTTGTACATTTTAGAAATGTACTTTATGATTTTGTACATTTTAGAAATGTACTTTATGATTTTGAACATTTTAATATGTCTAAATTACACATATTAAAATCATGTAATTTTCATGACTTTAGTAAAATTACCTCAAATTTTTTTTTTTTGTAAATTTCCATTGGATGTCTATAAAATCATGTCTGGCTTTAAGTACATTTCTTTTTTCTAATTTTTATGATACTAATTCTACAATCGTACTTAGTTTAACTTTCATACTTTTGTATACACATATTGCAATCAACATGCATAATATATTTATGAAGTATATGTTATCTTAAGTATGTATTTCATATTCTTAATTTGCTACTGTATATTATAAGTAAAATAACATTGTTTTACTTAGACGGTGCAGAATGAGTCGGGTTCTAAAGAAATTAGAACTCATCTTAAACACAAACGCACGGGTAGGGGTGAAAGTCGGATGAATCGGATCAGAATTAGCCTTTTCGGAAAATTTCCAAAAAGTTTCGGAAGTACAAAATCAATTCCAATTCCAATTCTAAAATTTTCGGAATCTAGAAATTCATTCCAATTCCAAAAGGCCCAGAAATTTCGGGATTTCAGAAAAAAAATCGGAAATCACATAAGCTTAAAAATTTCAAAAACTTAGGGAATATTTTCTTAAATGTTCATAATTTTCCAAAAGTAAGAACATCCACGTCGATAAAAGTAAAACTAATAATTACTAAATTTCAGTTCAAAAAATAAATAAAAATAAACACAACATAATATCTAATAAAACTTCTAACAATTCATTATGTCAAAATCCTAAAACAAAACTTATAGGTGTATTATTTGGTATTTATTATTTATAGGTGTATTTTCGGAAAAAAAACGGAAATTTTCGGAATTAATTTTGGAAATCAAATCGGATCGGAAATCGGAAATTCCAAATTTATTTTATATAATTCCAATTCCAATAAAAAAAAAATCGGAAAAATTCGAAAATCGGAATTTCGGAAGTCGGAATGAAAAAAGTTGTTCCGAAATCGGAACTTTTCGGATCGAAACCGGGAGAAATTGGAATTTCCGTTCCAACTTGCACACCTACGCACGGGTTTTCTTCCATAATAGATTTTCACGGATTTGGCACCCTCACTCGGGCCCTACTAAACAAAACAGATCAACTTCAAACATGCACGAAGACGCACAAAAGAGTTACATAAATCAGATGGATTTTTTTGTTTACGATTTGTTCAAATTCCAAGATTAATAATACTCCATCATATCTAATTAAGCTATGTATTTTGACATTCATATATATGATTATATGTTAATAATTCTGCCAGGATAAATACATACAAGTGAGAAAGACAATGTTATGCAAATTAGACGTATGGTTGCTGTTGCAATGTCCTTAACTGCATGATGCTACCCTTCAAGCTCCGCTCTTCTATCTGCTCATGCATAAATAACAACCAAATAAGAGAGAGAGAGAGAGAGAGAGAGAGAGAGAGAGAGAGAGAGAGAGAGAGAGAGAGAGATTTGGTGACCTCTAATGCAGAAATGTTACTGAAAAGCTCAAAGCATTCTTGTAACAGCAGCTTCTCTTGTGAGACTACCGTTGCTAATTCAGCCACCACTACTACTGTTTTCTCAATCTAAAACGACCAAGACATAAGCAAACAGAAACACACATTCACACATTGCACAAACATGATATATATATATATATATATATATATATATATATATATATATATATTAAAGCTTTAACGATAATCAAATTACCGCCGGTGAGAAAGTAGTTATCATCGTGTCGATGGATGCTGCAACATGTGATGCATGTCTCACAACATTGGAAGCTGATTCTTGTTCGACCTGAATTCATGATCATCATGATCACATTCTCAATTTCAACATGTTTTATTTTATCAATTCACAATTTTGATCAAGATATGTTCTAATTATTTGACATTGAAGAGGTTAAATATCATCTTGAATTTAATCATCATTATATGACATTATCTCATCTAGCAACAACTATGCAGTTGTTTTTTCTTATTCGGATATATTCAACACTCATTCATTACAATAATTTAACGATAATCAGATTTTGTCTCTCTTGAGTATTTTGTGTTATCTAACAGTTCATGTAACTTCTGTATTTATTATTTTATAAAATATTTAATATCCCGCTAAATTAATATTTTTTGTCACTCCAAGTTCTAAATTGTATTTGAAAAGATGTTCCTACAAGTATGTGTATGCATATTAGTCAATATCCCGGTTAACATCCTATAGTTCTAAGATTTTACGACTTTACCACTCTTTACGTTTTCAAATCATAATCAAGTCACAATCCTTCAATATTCAGAGTAAAATCATTTAAATCTACCATTTTATTTAAAAGATACATTATTATATATTTTGAGGCTTATATAACATGCGTGACATGCAATTGTATTTAAAAGATATTTAATACTACCAGTTTACGATTACGATTTTACAATCTCTCTGTGATTCTACTTAAATAAAATCCCAACCATATATGTATGTAATTTATTATTTATCATATGTATACCTTAGCTCCGTCAACGAGGGGTATTCTGCAAACAACCGAATGCAGATGGTCTTTGGTAGTAGAAACGGCTGATAAATGTCGTTTTTCCATATTTCCCCACATTTCGAGTGCCTTCATCTGTAAATTTTTAATATTAATTCACATAAAATCAATAAAAAAGAATTACAACTTTATGATATAATTAATTATGATTGCTATATATATACTTACTTGAGAGTGAAGAATATAGTTGAGTTTCATTTTGAGCTTCTCCTTTTGTAGCTGCAATTTCTTTTGTAGGACAGATTGCCGAAGTTTAATCAGTCCATCCCACACATACACCAACTTTCTCTGCACAAATAATATAAAATTATACTTATTTTCTTATTACTATACAATACTTGTCAACATTTGTTAACGCTGACACATTGAGACCTCGTTTGGTTGCTAAGAAAATTCATATTAATCAAAATTATATTAGGTGGTGTTTCATATTTGGCTACTCTATTAACTTGGTTTATCGGGAAATTGTCTATCGAATGTCTGGAAGTCTAATCGATCAACAAATTTTGGATTCAAGGAGTTGTAACCATGCTGAAGTTAGAATCGGATGAATTAGTAGTTTCTTCGATTGTTCGAATTCTCAAAAGATAAAAGAAAAAAAATCATCCATTTTTAATCAAACTTAAACTATGCAATGAACGAAATTATGCTGATTTCGGCATTTGGCGGAGCCAACGTAGGGCCGGTGCATTCTCAAGTCTCTATTATAATAAAAAAAATTGTACAATAGCATTAAGGGCCCCCTAATAATTTTTTTAATGCGTTACGCCCCTGCGAACTTAAAATTCTGGCTTAGTTAGTGATTTCTGATGGTTTTAGCTTGTCTCTTTAAAAATTAAATTGCAGTTGTAAAATCTTAGCTTATTTAATCATTAGGAAATATATCCTAAGTATACGAATTTTCTTTACTACAAGTGTATACAAAAAAAAATGGAAGAGTACAATTCAAACCTCACATGCTTCTTAAGTGAAATTTTTTTTCCATCTTTTGAAAACAAATTTTTATATATATATCATCATGTTTTTTTTATCATTGATCTCTTCCAGTCCAATGTGTTGCATTCTCAATTGACTTTTTTCATTGGTCACGAATCACTTGAATATTTAGCGGAAATTCGTGAACAAGATTAACAAGAAAAAAATTAAAAAGTATGTATCTTCTTCTTATTTTAATCTTGCTAAATCTTGTTGAATTACAAGTACAAACTTCACACCTATTTATACTAGCCTACCCATATACTCAGGTATTCAGGTAAATGTATCGCATTAAATAATATTCATCACGAATCCTAGATAAACATATGTATCGAATGATTATGTACGTGCTCATGTATCTTATCATACATTCCACTTCAAGAAAGTGCTTTAATGTCAATATTTCAAGAGAATCTTAGCTATATTTATTTAACATATTGAACATGTGAAAACAATTAATTAGGTCATAAAAAACAATAAAAAAAACAAGAAGTTAATATATATATATATATAGACAAACATACCTCAGCCTGTTGAATGACATTCCCATTGACAAGTTGAGCTCTGGCATTAGCGTACCTCCACTGCATCAAACTGTTATGCAACAACCTTAATTCATGAACCTTCTCAACCGACCCCGGCCCGAGCGGTGACGTGGCGACAGCATTAAAATTATTCGAAGAAGAAGATTTCTTCCCTTTCAACAACTCAAAAATCCCCATACTTAGAATATTTCCCACTCCTTTTCTTCCCTTTGAAGGACTCGTCGGAGGCTTCGTATTCGTCGGCGAAAAATCCAAACTCCCATTATTATTAGTAGTACCCTTCATCGCACTCTTCAACGAGAAAATCTTCGGAGAATTATTATTATTACTATTATTACTACTACTATTACTATTACTATTACTATTATCAGCGCTCCATCTTCGTGACCTGGACGATGATAGATCGTGCATGAATTTCGAAGGAACTTCGATGCCGTGTTTTCTCGAACTGACGGTGGGAGCCATGTAGGACGCCGCGGGGGTGTCGAAAATGGTGGTGCCGCCGCCGGCGGATAAAGCATCACTGTATTCGGATTCGGAATCGGATAAAAACCCTCGGGCGGATGATTTCCTTCTGATCGCCGTCTCGTCTACGGAAAATCGTCCTGGAACGACATGATCGATAATATCGTTCTGATCGTTGATCGAAGATTTGGAGGAGGATTTCGCGGGGAATTTGAAGTTCCCTGATGACGTGGCAGTATATCTCATGGATCCTCCTCCGAAAATGGCGGGTTTATGATTTTCTTTCTGGATCTTTTTGTCGTCATCTTGCCCAAATCTGCTGAATTCTGTGCAGCTTCTTTGTCTGCCGAGGGAGGATAGTGCAACTGGGTTTGTTTTTTGTTTGGTTTTGCGTTGTTGTTGTACGAGGTTGTCTGTGAGCCTGTCGTTTCGTCCGAGGTGGTCGGCGAGGGTAGTATTACTAGTGTCGGCGGGCTTTGAAGAGGGCCATAGCCCGCGTAAAAAGCCCGAAGAGTGGTCGAAGCTTTTGTGCTTTCTTGAATCGGTGGAAGATCTTGCTGCTGCTGCTGCTGGTTTAAAATTAGTTGGCTTTAGTGGCGAAACGCTGTTTGGAGATGATGACGAGTTATTATTGGAGGTTGGTGAGAGGAATCTCGAACTCACTTCTCGAGATTTGGGCTTCTTCCCGGGCTTCGGCGACTGATCGGCGGCTGCTCCGCCGTGGCTCTGCATCGGAAACCACCCGCAGAGAAAAACACACACGCACACGCACTTAAGGGTGAAAGAAATTGAAAGAAAATGAGAGAGTGTGTAGGCGTAAAACAAATGTTGCTTGAAAAAAGGCGGCAAGATAGATACCAAAGCCGGCGATTCCGAGGATTTCTGGTTTTTATTTCTTGAAATGACGTAATTGCCCTCGTGTGGGAATGGGAGTTTGGTGGTTTTGAGGGGTGGTTTGGGACTTTAGCTGGTTGGTTTTGACTGAGTTTTGAGTAGTGGGATAGTGGAGACAATGATAGAATTGTGACAAAATGAAACTTATGCTCTTTTTTTTTTATAAATAATTTATGTTTTTATTTCTATTAAAAAATGATTTTTTTTTTTTTTTTTGTTTTATTGAAAAGGAGTGTTGTTTGAGGATTGTGTTGTTTAGCTTAGCCGGCGTATTGAGTGGGTTTTAATTTGGGGGGTTAAATAGCAATTTGCGACGTGTCAGTCTATATTTGTATGGGATTTGCTTTTTATTTCTAGAAATTGACAAAATAATTTGAGCTATGATTTTGATTTTTTTTTTTCTAGGGAAACAAAGATATTTCATTATGCTATGAAAGCCAATTTTTGAGGGAGACAAAAGCAATTCAACGTGGTGTGGTATGGTTAGTAGAGTTTGCCAAAGCATGAGCAACGCTATTACATTGTCTCTTAACAAATGAGAAAACACAAATTAAAAGATCAAACTAGAAGAAGACAATTTTTAATATAAGCACCAAATGAAAGAAATGATGGATCTTCTTTCTGCAGTGAATTGGTGACTTGTTTGCGATCGTCTTTTAGAATCAACGACCTACATCCTTTAGTCGCCGAAATGGATAAAGTGTGTTGTGTCGCATTTGCTACCCCCCCCCCTCCACGATCGCCGGCCTTCCATGAACTCTCTCAACGCTCCACCAAATGCACTCTCCCGTCCAAATTTGCACTATCATAGCAATTATAAAATAGTTTTTTTTCTTTCTAGTGGAAACCCCGCGTCGAAATTATCTTTAATTTGTCCTTAATTAGGCAGAGTCCATCGGCTTTCGAAAAACTCATATTTATTAAAAAAAAAAAAAAAAATGGGGGTCAAAACATACATTTACAAAACAATAATGAAATTACCTAATGCGTCTGCCCTATTTGACACTCAATTCAAATATTTTGGTCCAAGACAACAAGCTTATAAGGTTCGTAGTATTAACAAACGATATACATAAAAACTATGAGAACGATATAATATTTATGATTAAGGGCATTGCATCATGTATTCCCTTTTTATTTTATTTTTACTTTGTAAAATTAAATTTTGACATACAACATTTTGAATAGGTAAAGATAATAGCCTTTGAATTAACATGATGTTAAACAGGCATACTAGTGATTGTGATCACACTACAATTAAAATTGAACAATGCACTTTTGATCCGAATCATTGTCTTGCTAATTTATCTCACTTCAATAAATATATATAAAAAAATAAATAAATAAATAAATAAATAAATAAATAAATAAAAAACACACACACACACACACACACACACACACACACACACACACACACACACACACACTTGTGAGAGATTATGTGGCATTAAAGATTCTTAACTTAGCTTATCAATTATTCTGTAAATTTCGTCAAACCTAATTGTAATTTCAATAGAGTCAATTGTGTGCAATTGTGTGTGTATAATTACTTTGTGACTTTTAAGGAATGGGATGGATATAAATGAAGGTATGAAAGAGTAGAAATTTTGTATATGCTTTGACTTGATTAGAATACACATTTCATATGGCGTTATACGATCACATACATTGACAAGGACTTCTAGATGAAATCTTATTTAGTTCCCAAGGTTAGGGGTAAGATGTAACATATTGAAATTAACCTTTTTTTCCAAAAAAATCATTTTTTTCTTTAAAGTACAAAACTTATTTCAATTCCAATCACAAATTTTTCGGAATCTACAAGTTTATTTAAATTCCAAAAGTTTTGGATATTTCAGAATTTCGGCAATTATGTGAGTATTGACAATTTTTAAAAAGTTTGAAAACTTTCATAAATGTAAAAAAGCTAGCAAGCACAACGTGCGTTGCATGTGATTACGTATGTTTTTACTTAATAGAAGTTGTGGCTATGTAATAAAAGTTACATACTATATTTTGCAGATAAGATTATATTTGTTAAATAAAATGATATAACTACAAAACTTCATGTTCGACTTAGGTGTCGAGACCTATGATGAAATAAGG